GTTTTCCATCGTATTGAAGACAAATATGAGGCACAAAGATGAACTCCTGATCCTGGTCGGGCGAGAAACGGACAGTAAAAGGCTGGAAGAGTTCAGTTTTTAATTAAAAATTCAAATATATCAAGACATTTTGGTATATGTGACCAATATTATTTTATCTATAATAATAATACAGATGTCTTATCCTTGTCTTATTTCGCCAATATCTATACCTGAAACGCACGTCAAAGATCAAGGGAAAAGTAGCTTTTGACTTCACAGCCAATTTTCTCGCGTAGGTTATTACGTGATCACGCCGCAAGTCTTTATATATATGATAAATTTTAAGAAAGAAGGGTTTCAGTGATTGTAGCTGGACGGATGCTGTTAAGACGAGATTTTCCTTCACAAGTAACCCTGAAGTAGATAGAAACGACAGAATGCTTGAGACAAACAATTCAACAGATGGTGAAATACAGATGAAAACTTATCAAGAACTGGTATGTTCGTCCTATTTTATAGGTGGTTTACAAAAACAATCGATTCATCTCGCAGTGGTAAATATGATACTCTCCCTCACAGCATTTCTTGGATATTCTCTCATCCTTGTTGCCCTTCACAAAGAATCCTCCCTTCATCCGCCATCCAAACTCTTGTATAGTTGTCTGGCAATAACTGATCTGTTGGTTGGTCTTATTACCCAGCCTCTCTATGCTATTCATCGGATGTCCACGGCTTTCGAACACTGGAATCTTTGTCGATACACAGGGGGCGCCGTCAGCGTAACAAGCTATGCATTATGTGGAGTATCTTTCTTGACAATGACGGCCATAAGTGTGGATAGACTTCTCGCTCTGCTGCTGGGGCTGAGCTATAAACAAATAGTAACTTTGAAGCGCTCATATATTTTTTTAGCTGTCGTTTGGGTTTCATCTGGTGCCGTTGCTTTATGCTACATTTTAGATCACCCTATAAGCTTATGGTATATGTATTTCATGACACCATCTTGTCTAGTGATCTTACTCGTCTCGTACTCAAAGATTTTTCGCACCCTCAGCCATCATCAGGCACAAGTACAAGATAATGTTCAACAACAGGCGAGCCAAACAAATACACTAAACATTGCGCGATACAGAAAGGCGCTGCATAGTGCACTGTGGGTTCTTTCAGCTTTAGTTGTTTGTTCTACCCCAAGTTACTTACTTGAAATTGTGAAAAATCGTAAGAAAACATTTTCATCAGATTTAGTCGTCATCAGAGAAATAGCATTAACCTTACTTTACTTCAACTCGACGTTAAATCCGTTTCTTTACTGCTGGAAGATTAGGGAAGTGAGACAAGCAGTGCAGCAGACAATCAGACGGGTACTTTGTTGTCCATGGAGTTAGATCCCTCATGAGTTATACTCGTATTAACTCTTTCAAAACTGATTCCTAACGTCACAGCTGCTAATACATTAAAGAACGGTCGCCGGAAATGTTGAACTATGAAGAAATGAAGAACAGGAAATTGAAACACTGGCCATGTCCTAATATATTTCATGCGAAGGCTCTTACTGGTAACAAAAATACGACGTTATAATAAGACTAACAATAACTTCAATTTAAGTACCTCGTATTAGATAGAGGGTCTGAATGGGAGGTCCAATTGTCGGTTGTCGGTTAAAAATTCAGTCACTTTGTCGGTAGTCGGTTAAAATTTTCGATCTTTGCCGGTAGTCGGTAGTATTTTTCGTCCTTTGTCGCTAGTCGGTTAACCTCAATCACACCCTTCTCTAGGTCACTTCCTTCAATCATAATCCTCTTTGCCAAAATTTCGTCCTCTCTCGCTTCTTCTCGTGATTTTCGTTTTCTCCTCACTTCCCACTGGTCGCCTTTCTTTTCGGAAGTGTTCATCAACTTCTGCTTGCTCGCAGATGTATCACCTGCATCCGGCGCATTAAGCAGCACGACGGGTTGAGCGGTCCAGTTTGTAACTTCTTGGATAATGTGCACTAAAATGTGAAATGGGGCCTATTTTAAGTACTCTCGTTAGCAGATCTTAGCAGGCTCAGGTGACGTTAAGCGCTATCTCTAAATATATCCCTTAACCCACAGAGAAAAGCTGCAAAAGTTAATTGCTCATCTCGATGTAACACGCCATACATCACTGAAGGTGGTTCAAAAAGTTGGACACGTAAGATTGAAGAAATTTTCCTTTACTAAATTCTACAGAAAACTGAGTAGTTTGACGCCAGGTTATCCAAAAGTTTATTTTAAGCTGTTTATATCTGCTCATTTTCTATTTAGATAAATTCTCAACTTCAATCTGCCCGGTGCCATTAACGCGACTGTTAACCTGAAGCCGCAATAATCAATAGAATATGCCATCATTTGCTTTAAATTATAAATGCGATAAACGACAGATTGTCAACCTAGAAAACTTTTGTATTTTAACAATCGAAGTCAAATACATCGATTTGCAGGCTAAACGGTTATTGCTGTCAAGTTTAGTTATTCATTACACAGAAATAGT